GGATCTCTTCAGCTTGAAGACTCCTGTGTTCTGGATTATTCCTGGGATCAAGTGAAGGACAAACATAGATTCAAAACATATGATTACAATAAGTGAAAGAATCAGTTGTATCAGTCCGTTGTTGAACCACCCAAAATATCCACATAAGAACTCGTCGACTGGGTTACGAATCGTCATACAAATGTACCCATCCATGCATATGACAGCACATATCGGAGATTCAAACAATACAAATCCAGTAGCGGGTATATTACACTTGTATTCATTGTGAAAGACAACTATTTCTTTTAAATAACTGATGAGAAGTTAAAAATGGCTGCATCAAAAGCATATCAAGGTGAATGAGACGATCTGTTGAAGCATATGTCTGATCTGAAAAGGTCAAGACAACATGAAGATGTGTTGAAGTTACACGATTTGAATGATATCACAGAAAATGACTACAAGGATTGCATAATTATATTATCACAAGAAACAAAAACGAACAATGCTCTTTCAAAATATGCTTATGATTCAGGCTTCTTTTCTGAATAAATACATTGAAACAGTAATGGTTACTTTGATGGATTTATTTATCATAACAGCAATATCATCCTGATGAATGATGACTATGATTTGAGAAAGACGATATGTGATAAGCTGTTGAAACTTATAAAACAGATGAAAAACTCAATCATTCACCGCAATAAGCAGATCATTATTCCAGAATATGTCAGGTTGTATTCCACAAAGCTCTTACAATGTCAATACAAGACAAATGTTAGATGATTTCTTCCCAAGAGCACTACAATAGTGTTCAATAGAAGATATTCCAGATGATGTTGTCAATATCAGCATAAGCAAATGCTATCCTTCTATTTTGAGGAATAATGCAAATGCGATCCCAATATATATGTGAAATGTTCAGCAGGCAACCGTGGACGATAATCCTACTCTTGCACGTTTCTTCATGTCAGTGAGTTAAACCAATGTGGTGAATTCTATATAGATGAAACAATTTTGAACGATTATAGTTCACCCATTATTATTGAAGCCGGGTTTCGAACCAGCTGTCTTGTAAAATATCTTGTGGAATGCTTAAATATGCCAAGCAAACAGATCAAATACAAAGTAGTGACAAAACGCACTCCGAAACCAGATACTTTCAAACAATATATCGAATACATATTCACTAATTTCGATAAAAGTGAAGCCAAAGTACTTGCCAGCAGTTTTTTCGGTGATTTAGGACGCAGATATGACAAAACGAATAAAGGATTCATTTGCACTGAATATGAAACAGCAATGTGTTGTTAGACCTCTGCAGCGGCACAACAAACAAATATGACTTTTGATTGTCATGATGGATTGCATATGATAAGGGAGCAAAATACTGACAGATTGTTTTCTGACAAAACAAGCATAAAGCGTTTTGTTATCTCATAAGCTATTTTGGATTGTCTATGTCTGATTAAACAAGCCATGGGAAAAACAGCAAATTATATGGCTACAATACTGATGGATATAAATTACTGATCCGAAAAGGACGTTCAGAAATAAAAAGGATGTTAAGTTTGGTGTGAAAAAGATTGGAAAAGCTTATTCGACCGACTCTGAAATGAACTATTCTGGAGAGCATTATCGTGAGAACATGAATTTTGACGACTATAAAAAATGTGAAGGGTAAAGGATGTATTTGTGGTGGACAGACTGGATCTGGTAAACTAAGCTATGTAAAATGGTAAAAAATACTCTTCTCAGAGAAAAGAATCCACTTGTTTAGTCATATAGAAATAAAGCTGTTGAAAATGTCAAAAAGAATCTGATTATACAAAATATGATGATAACTGTGACGAAGGTTAGGAAGCATTGTCTGAAATGCAAGCAGTTGATGTAAGTCATACATTTGACAGTAATTTCTGCAAATATTCATTGAAGAGTTCAGCATGGTTCCAAATAAATGGATTATGTTGATTTATAAAGCATTCACGATATTTCAAAATAAGATCTACCTGTTTGGTGATCCGAATCAATGCGAACCTACTGAAGGCGGAAGTCAAATTCACTACAATTATTTAAGACAGTCCTTGAGATGTGTCCAAGAATGAAGACCCTTGAATATCGAATCAACTAGTCGCTATGATAAGAAAACAAACAAAATACTTGAAACATTCTTGAAAAATGATAAAATATCCACTTATTTTAATCCCATAGACAAGAAACTGTTCAAGAATATCTATTTTTTGAATGGCACAAGGAAGAGGGTGACAGAAGAATGTTGCGATAAATTCTGTGAAAACAAGGGGGTTCCAAAACATTAGTTTCCCATGTAATGGCGGCAAAGAAATGTACAAAACCTGCTCTGGAACCCTTGTAATTTCGACACAGAATATCAAAGACAAAAACATAATCAATACAATAGAATTTGTTATTTCTTGTATCACCGATACAACAGTTTCTATTGGTGGCAATGAATTCTTTCACAAGGAATTTTCTGAGAATTTTATTCCAAGCTTCTGTGTGACTGTACAAATACCAAGGAGGAAGTATCAATGAAGATTACAATATATACGATGTCAACAGAGTGGATAAAAAAACAATTGTATAGACCACTTTCATAAATGGCTGCCGGATTAATATTCTTTTGTTTAAATTTAAATTAGCCCTACTGGCCTCGTTCTCCAGTACAAAATTCAAAAGAAACGTTATCTCAGGCGAGGCCAGAAGGGCTAATTTAAATTTAAACAAAAGAATATTTATACGGCAGCCATTTATGAAAGTGGTCTATACCGCTTTATTGAAAACAAGAAGTTTTGATTTTACTCATTTTGACAACAAAGAACTAAACAATAGAGATTTCAACAGAAAACAACCAAATCTTGAGCAAACAAACAGCAAATT